GCCATCTTAATGATTGTTGTTGTTATCGCTTATTGTGCTGGTCGCAAATAAGCTTTTTGTTTTTTTTTTTTTTTTGTTTCTGTCTACCCTTTGTGAGGTAGTAAGTAAGAGCGTATTAAGAATGAAAAAAGAAAGGGATTTTACTTAGATAATTTTTTTTTTAAGATTTTTTCACGCTGTTTATAGTACAGAAATATGCAAATGAAGGCAGCGCCTCAGCCATGATTATATTTGGGACATAAAAAAAAAATACTTGCGGAAAAGTAGTAAAACCAAAATCACCGTAACGAAGCAAAAGTCGATTGAAGAGAGCAGAAGGGGTTGTTTGAGATTCTATTTTTATTTTTTTTAGAAGTTGCCTACAAAGGGTTCAAAGGGTTTTCTTGCTTTTATTTGTGTTGATATATTGAGCTTCAAATCGGGTGTTTAATCGCGAATTTAATCAGGAAATTTAAACTGAGCCAATCTCGCATTTGTGCAAAGAATCTATAACTGTTTTGGTGTTTACATCATTTGCGCTTCAACTTTTGCACTTCACTTGCTTTTTTGGCCAACTTCCATTAAGGCAAACACTCACCTAAATAAACTCGCATCCAGTATATCTTCGCTGCTGTGTTGTGTTGACTTTTTTCGGCTGGCGTAGCAGTAACTATTAGAAAGACTTTCACTTTAAATAGGATTTTTTGTGGTATATGTAAATTTATGTTAAAAAACTTGTATTTTTGCAGTAAGTTTTTGATTTTTTAGTATTGTTTTAATATTCGGTTTTGTTTTTGTATTTCTTTTTTTATATCAAATATAAATATTTGCTTAATTTTATTCAATTCCTTGACTGTATGTTGCGGTTCGTTGTTTGTTACCGCCAAGCGTTAACTGAAAGACACTTCGATTTTCCTACATACATATATACACATACACATATATATAAACAAACACATGTATGCACACGCGTGCACGTAACGTGCTTTACACAAACAATTCCTCAACACTTCAATTTACATATTTGATTAGATGAGCCACTTAATTGCGTTTAAATTTCGAAACCGTTTCACTTTCTATATTCGTAACTATGTTTTTTTTTTGATCTACATACAACTAAGTAAATATTTTCCAATCTTGGCTAGTTTTTTGTTTTATGTTTTTGATTTGCTCAGCGCATACAGCAAATCTCACAGAAGCAACCGAAAATGGCATGAAATATGTAAAATGGAACTGCCACAAAAAACACAATGTAGAATACTATAATAAATATATTATCTCTGCTAGCGAAGCGTATATGTATGCAAGCGCGCGGGTGTCTTCTGTCCGTGCGTTTCAGCGAGCGACCGTACAATTTAGCTTGCGGCAAAATTTTTGTTAACCTTTTATTCACCTCAACTCGCGCTGTAGCTCGGACCAACTCTGCTCGACTACTCACTCAATTCAATTGTGCGACTGTGCAGCTGTGCGGCGGCTACACTATGCTTTGCTTTTGTCGTATTGTTAGCTGCATTGTTGTTTGCAAAAAGGCATGAAAAATGCACTTATGTACTACAACGTATACTCGCTAGTGGTATCAGCTGTTTTTGTTTTGTAGAGTTTTTATAATAGCGCAGTCGCACAATTGCTGCTGAAATTCTCTTTATCTCCAAGCAGCCGATAAAGAATTTCTCTGCGATTGTTGCTTAAATTTCATATTCGAAAATTGTGCTCTTTTTTCCAAATTTCAATATGCTCTTAAGTTGGTTGGAATTTTCGAAGTCTCATTTATCCTTGTGTTCGAACTTCGAAACACATTTGTTGCTTGCCATTCAGCGAACTTTTTCATTTCAGTAATCACTACTGACATGTAATTATCGCTTGTATCTGTAGGCTTCAACGCCGCCGCCTTTGCTACATCAAATGCTTGTATTTTTATGCCACTGTAGATATGTATGCATGGAGGTATATTAATACATATATGCATACATACATACATTAATAGAATACCTTAATAAATATGTGCAGAAATAATCGCCATGGCTGACTTGAGTATGTCGGCATCAATTGCACAATTTTCCGAACTAAATATCCAATTTTAATAATTTTCTGTTTTTATTACTTCTTGAAATTAGCATTTTATACACACAGTACGCATGGTACTGGGCGGCTACAAAGCATCGATAATTATTAATAATCAAAATATTTCGGATACATCAATAGAATCGTGGGCTCCGATTTATACGCTTGTGTAGTTAGCTTATTTCACACAAGGGCGTGTTTCACTAGGCGGCTTCTAAGAGTACATAATTAGTTAGCTGTGTTGGAGTTTTGGTATTATTTGCTATTATTAAAATTTCGTTTAAGTGCATTGCAGGCATTAAGTACTTTTTCCATGAAAAAATTTACACTAATTAGATTTGCAATAGTAAGCTTATACTCGTGCATACGTATTAACAAATTTAAGAAGGTAGCATAGAGACGTCATATGTTCAATTAATAGCCGTGCTAATCGTAACTGTGTGGGTAATCATTTGTTTAATGCAAGCACAAATATGATGAGGACGACCCACAAATTTGATAGACGCGTGTCAGTGATTATAGAAAATAAAAAATGTAGGATTGAATAAACCACCCATAGAATTGCGTATAGCGAATGCTTAGCCTAGCAGAGCGCTTTTACGTAATACATCAAACGACCAATACAAGAATGAAAGTAAAGATGAGTGCGTACATAGATAAAGAAAAGGATAAAGGCAAAGGTACAAAAAAAACAAAGATGCATAAAGATAAAAGCATAAATTAAGATCAAGCCAAATTTAAACACTTTACTTACATACACATATGTATAAGGGCAAAGGTGTAGGGGAATATGTAGATGAAAAAAATGATAAACATAAAAGTAAAAACAAAGATAAATATAAAAAAAGATGAGGATGAGGATACCGATAAAATTAAAGATGATGATAGAGGAAGAAAGATTAAAATAAATGTAATTATAGAGAAAAGGATATAGACAGAGGCCCAATCTGGAGAGTATTTCGGGATTTTAGAGATCTTCGAAATTCTCGGGATTTATCGATACCATAATCGATATTTTTATTGATTTCGTTATCGATTTTGTAATCGATATTTTTAACGATTCTGTTATCGATATTTTTTATCGATATTGTTATTGGTTTTGTTATCGATATTGTTATAGATTTTGTTATCGATATTTTTGTCGAATTTGTTATCGATATTTTTATCGATTTTTTTTTATCGAAACAAAATAACATAAATATAATTAGAACGAACTGGGGTAGAGGTAGGGATCCAGATAGAAAAAGGCAAAAAATATAACCTTAAGCAAAAGCATATGTATGTGTGTATGTACATATGTAAGTATGTATGTATATTGGTTATGAGACAAAATAGATACGTAACGTAAGTTTCAATTCTGCAGTATGGCCCAGGCGCACTTACTTTTTTTAAGTCAACCTGGCCAAATTTTTTTTTTTTTTTATTTGAAATAAGGGTCATTTCCTGATAATGAATCCGAATTAAACAAATTTTGGTATCAGATGAAAGAGGGCGAAAAAGCTCTTAAACAGCAATTACGACCGAAGGTTACCAACTCTATTTATATTTCTTTTTGTAATTTAATACAAAACAAATTCATGCATAAACCTGACCCAGGGTTTGTTCTATGGTAATTAAATACAAATTTTTATTGAAATATTTTCCACCTTTTAGTTTTAAAGCTATTTTAGCCCTCTTTCATTTGATACCAAACTTGTTTAATTTTGATAACCGGTTTGTTTATTATCAGGAAATTACCTTTATTTCAAACTTACAAAATATTTGGCAAAGTTGACTTAAAAAAAATAATAAATGTTATTTTCGTTCCCTCCTTCAATTAGGAATTATCTCCATGTTGTTTTGCGCTCGCATTTCGGTGTAGAACAATTCGCCCGGTTGTTGCTTTGGGCACCATTCTGTTGGACTAATCGTAGCATTTCAATAAAAATTTACTGCTGTAATGGAGTATATTAAATGTAGTACCCTTAATAAACAGTATACAAAATGGCGTCCCTGCTGGCGCATCTATACTGATATCTTGCGTTACAAATGAAGATAGAGCCCGTAAATCGTATACAAATTAGTTATAATTATAACGGTAATGGTCATGATAATGGCAATGGTAATGGTAATGTAAAGGTGTTGGTAATAGTACTGATTATGGTAGTAATACTGGCACTGGTGGGAGTAGTGCAATGTTAATGGTAATGGTAATGGTAATGATAAGGGTAATGGTAATGTTAATGTAATGGTAATAGTACTGTTTATGGTAATAATACGGGTATTAGTGGTAGTTACAACAATGGTAATACTAATGGTAATCATATTGATAATGATTATTATGTAGTAATGTAGTGGTTTTTGTACTTGTGGAAAAGGGAGTTTAGCTGGATAGAAATACCCTATGCTAATAGCAAAGATCCTTTCATAGCTTCAAATCGTCCGAACGGGATGACGTTTATATTCCAATTGTACTCAAAAAAGTTTTTGAGCTTCTGTGGGCGATCTATATAACAATTTTTAACTGAAATAGCACTAAATGTATTTGTGTCACATCATGGCGGCTCATCGGCGTCGGCTTCATCCCAAAGTTTGGTAGGAATGATATACCAGCTCGAAAAGTTTAATGCCAATCGGCATGATTTCCTTCATGTTAAAATGTTTCAATGGATCTACATAAGCAGCTCTTTCTCTGGTGGATGCATCTACCACACTCTCTATTTTTATATCAAAATGCCTATCAGGTGTGTAAGCATCAATTTGCTTGTAAAGTTCCCAAAATATTAACGCATTTTGTAACCATTTCGTTACGAATCTTCAAAGAAAATCAAGTTAGTGACACGAATACGTAAATAAATTTCTTTACGATTTCTTAAATGAAGTTCTGAAAATTCTCTTTACATCACAGCTTTATTTTCTTTCATTGCTTCACGGATTTTCTTTTGAAATTTCGTAAAAGAATCATGTGTCCACAGTGCAAATAATGTTTTCTTTAAGATCTCTACTATTCGCGTTAATCTGAAGTTAGATTGTGCCAGCAGCTTTGAATAATAGTCTGTCCCATCTGTAAGTACTACGGAGCGTATACGTTACATACACAATTGCGGATATATTTTATCTGCCTTAATTAAGCAGTCATATCATTAAACAAAAATAAAATAGATCGCAATAAAAATATGAGTTCTAAAAAAAAAAAATATCATTTAAAAGTAATAAAATATTGCCGTGGAATATTTTCCAATAGTATTCTTCACACATATAAATATATGTACATCTCGCCACCTAAATGTGAAAGCCCAAGCCAATCCCACTTTTTTTCAAAGTTTTGGTTTTGATGCAGTATGGCAGGTAATACGAAACTACATCGATTTTTCGTCTCTCCTGAACAAATTCAAAAAAAAAATGGACTTGGCACCTTTTCACCCTTAGGTGGCGATATATTAATTTCATCATGAAGTATGTATACACTGAGAAAAGAGTTTAGTTACGTCAACTAAATATGTTTCTCTCAAAATTTGATTTGGTTATAGGTATATCATTTGTTTATGGTGACTATTTTAATCTGGTGGTGAGAGAATTATATTTAGCAGACTCTTTCCTTAGTGTATAGTAATTTTCAAATGAGTTTCGAGTGTGCTAATAAAAATTATAAAATTGGATTTTTTTCGCAAATCATCAGCATTTGGTGGCACACTCTTGAAAATTCACAGATATTTTGTATTT